ATCCCACTGCATTTTAATTTATGATTGAGTAACAAATTTAATTAAAAGAAGTGAATTATTAGGTTTTATACAAGTGTTATTTAAATTAATAAGTGATGTTATAGAAAAAATCTTTTTATATTATTTTTTATATAATTTTTATATGTCATTAAATGAATGGATACATTTAATGTCATGGATCTCACATGAATTAAAAGAACCAATTATTTAAATGACATGTTAAGTTATACAGAAATGTAAGATAAAAAAGTATTACAAAAATTATTTTCCTAAATTAATAGATGATGGGGCCCACTATAAATTTATTAGGTGTCACATTCTATCATGTTTTGTCCATATATTACGTGTAATTACACATCATCCAAAACTGCCATCTTTGATCATTTAATGGATTTGTTGGTTTTTAACTAATAGAAGGACCAACAAAATGCATTTTGTACAGTTAAGTGATCAAAAAAATATAAAAAATAATTGAGGGACAAAAATTGTGTAAAATATTCAAAAATTATGCAAAATATTAAAGTTAAAAAACCAAAATTAACATTTAACCTTTCTCAAATCCCTCACCATCCAACTCAAAAGTTGAATTTGAGATTTTTAATTTGAAATTGCAAGTTCTTAACAATTATACCACTCCATTGGGGGTAATATTGTGGTATTATTGATAAAATAAAGTTAATTTTTATGTTTCTTTTGTAATGATTAATTAAAAAATATAATAAATGTCTTATTAACATAGGTTAAACAAACTCTTTTGTAGATTTTTTTTAACATGTATTTTAACAGTATTAGTTAAACTTATTTTTTCATTAAAAATTCCTAAAAGTTAAAATTCATTATAAATTCATAAAAGTTAACTTTAATTTTAGTATCATTATTATGTAAATGAATTTGATTGAATGGTTCGTAAATTGAAGATCAATTTTTATTTTTTCAATATAAATTTATTGAAAAAAATATATTTATTACCCTCTTAATCTCTTAATATGTGTTTTAAAGGTACATGTAAAAAATAATCAATTTTATTAGTAGTGGTTAGTACTTTTAGTCCTAAATCTTTACAATAACTTTTAAATTCACCCTAAACATTTTAAAGTTGAATGCAATAAATTGATTCCTTTATATATGAAGGCCTTGCAAGTTGGAACGTAGCATTCTATACATGTGTGGGTATGTATATAAATATCACAAATCTAGATTAGTTCTATCTTTGGCCGAAAATTTTTACAAGAAAAATAGTTAGTGTTTACACCCATTTTTGCAAAAAAAAAAAAAAAGAGTGCTGCCACATGTCATCCATTTTGGGAGTTATTTCATTGGTTAAAAGTTGTTGGTGTAAATCTCTCCAGATAAGGTTTAGGGGTTATTTCCACAACTGCAGCAAAGTCGTTTGCTTGTTGCGAACTTCTAGGAGGATAATCGGCAACACAAACAGATTAATCGATTTGCTATAGATTGTATCCTGCCATTGATTTTCAAGATGCCGCCAACAAAACTCCACCATGCTGCCAAGGTGCTATAAATACCTGATGATTAGACGAAGCGAAAAAGACCAACCTCTCACACAACTAACCCAACGTTATCTATATTTTAGTTTTACAAGCAATGTCTTAGTTTAGATCCAGTTTTCTCAAACAGCTTCCCTAATTTAGTCTTTAGCTCTATGCTACCATTAGTTTTAACTCTGATTTTTGTTATTTCATTGTGAACATCTCCACTCGATTTATTTAGTTTTCTGCAATTCAATTTACTACACTTTGCCCCAAGTCATCTTCCTATATTCTTTTAAGTTTTGTTTTATGCTTCATCTTTTATTTCATTCTTTAAGCTTTCATGCTTTTGCGGCGGCATCACGCTTCCACTTTGCAATTTAGTTTTCTTGCCATGCACTCTCTTTCTTCTCCTTTCCTTTATTTTCCTCTTTTATTTTGATCAACAAACTAGCATTTTGGCCCTAATTGTGGGAAGTCCCTGATGTTCTTCCAGGGCAATTATTTATGGACCTTTA